GTCTTTGAACAAAATCTTTGACCTCTTCTCCTTCTCAAACTCTTTGACCCGTTCTCCTTCCCAAACTCTTTGAACCCTTCATGCCAAGTCTTTGAACAAAATCTTTGATCCCTTCTCCTTCCGAACTCTCTGAACCCTTCACCCCAAGTCTTTGACCAACATATTTGACCCGTTCTCCTTCCGAAACTCTTTGAACCCTTCATCCCAAGTCTTTGAACAAAATCTTTGACCCGTTCTCCTTCCCAAATTCTTTAAGCCCTTCATCCGAAGTCTTGTTCTCCGTCCCAAACTCTTTGAACCCTTCATCCTAAGTCTTGTTTCTCCTTCCCAAACTCTTTGAACCCTTCATCTTTGAACAAGATATTTGACCCGTTCTCCTTCCCAAACTCTTTGAACCCTTCATTCATCCCAAGTCTTTGAACAAAATATCGACCCGTTCTTCTTCCCAAACGATTTGAACCCTTCATCCCAAGTCTTTGACCAAAATCTTTGAGCGGTTCTCCTTCCCAAACTCTTTGAACCCTTCATCCCAAATCTTTGAACAAAATATTGACCCGTTGTCCTTCCCAAACTCTTTGAACCCTTCATCCCAAGTCTTTGAACAAAATCTTTGACTAACACTAACCATGGTATGGAAGTGACGCTGTACAAGCCCCCATTGCAGGGCGGGTCTGTATTGAAAAATCAATTCCAAGGGGGGGTGAATTGAACTATCAATTATTACACCTGGAGGAGCTTACACTTGCTTCGCAAGACAAACTCAAGGTATCCCCCTGAGGGCTACCTTTCGTGAATAGTTCAGGGGAGGGGCGCTTCGTTTTATGTACAATAATTGACTAATTAAATATCTATATAAAATTAGAAATACTCAAATCTTGTATTATTAGGAAATACCTTTTCAATATAGGTTTGTTACTACATCAGATTCAAAGGTCTAAGAGCTCCTCAAGGCTGGATCCTTGGAAAAAGTGACCTTGTAATCAGAGTCTCACGAATTCTGGCACAATTTCTGCAGGATTTTTGCGCCCTGTTGAAATCTGAGTCAGCAGGTTGTGAAACCAAACCATCTTTAAAGCATAATTTGCCTCTCTTTGCTCCAAGGCGGTTTCCACAGCCTCTCTCAGTTTGGCATTGACGTCTGGGACCTCTTTCACAAAACCGTTCCTGCTCAAAACTTTCTGGTCTCTCAATGCTTCCCACAAACGCTGGCTTTGTTGCTCATTCCACTGATGGCTGGCAAAGTTGTAGGCGCTCCGTGGTTGCAAAAGACCCAGAAATTTCACAACTTCTGCACATTCACTGAGTGAGTAATCGCAGGAGCCATTGAAAAGCTTCCGCACAGCTCGATGCTCTGCACGTGGAAGCTTTGGATAGCCCACACGACAAGCACACATACTTTTGCCAGTATCACTCAAGTGGCACAGCTGGGCAAAGAACTCTTCTGCCTGCATTGCCCGCTGAGGGGCATGTTTGCTCAGATACCTCATCTCTACCAACACATTGCTGGCTTCCCAGCCTGATAGCAAGATGATCGATGTCACTTGGTCCTTGGCCGGAGACAAAAGGAACGTATCCACAGCACGCAACGTATGTGCTCTTTCCAGCGGGCTGCAATGGTCATCTGTAATTTGGACACTGCAAAGCCAATTGCTGGTGATGAACAAATGACTTGGCATGTCTCTGAAATCGAGCATCTGTGGCAAATACATCCCGCAGCGTTCCAGCTTATCTGCAGTCATTGCATGCAAACGGGGACATCCATCGCATTCATTGAGGCAATCAAATACAAAACCTTTTGTAAAGCATGGCCCCATTCCCATTGCTTCTCAACAAGCTGTGTGTGGGCTTGGACTGGAGGAGGACACACTTCAGCTTTGGTTTCTATTTCGACTTCCTTCTCTTGTTCTTTCTCCTGTTCCCTCTCTCGTTCCGGTTCCTCATCCATAGAAGTAACAAGAACGTCTTCAGAACACAGGAGCTTGTGATCACGCAAGTATGCCAACTGATTCCTGATTCTCTTGTGTGCACGTTCTCTCCAGCGCTGTGTTTCTTGTGGTGTCAAATCCGCATTCTTCAAGATCTGTTCTGGGGCATCCAAAGCACGCCTAGGAATCTCTTCCTCACTGGGGTAAGCAGCCAGTGACTGGCAATACGAAGTCAACTGAAAATTCTCTGGCTCTCTGCAAAGCTTTGTTTGCTAAACGCCTGCATTCGGGCCTGAAGCCCCCTGGACATGTTCCAAGAAGGGCACTCGTGTTGCAAAGGCTGAACCCTGCAATGCCCAGTGAACAATAGCAGACCTCAACTCCTCTGCTGTCCGAGCTGTGACAAAAGCAAGAACTAAACCCACACTTGGCTCCAGCTTCACTGTCCACAAAAAGCATAACCTTTTGACCCAGGCCCAGAAAACACACGCGCATGCAGGCTTGGACTAGCCTGTCTTTGGTGGTCTTCTTGCACACAGTGACTGCTCCAACTGCAGCTGGGGCAAAGCGTAGATCCGTTCCACGCTTGTGCTTGTCATCCAAATATGTGAAGCACTCATGGGCAGGTTGAAGCGGACTCTTGGCCAAAGGAGTGTCTTTTCCATCGCTGTCCAGTACCACGATCTGGTTCTCATCATCGAAATAAATGGCTGTCCGAAATCTATGAGGACTCAGCTTCAGCACAGCCTCTGCAACTTGCCGATTCGACATCCCAGTGAGCAAAGCACCGCAATCAATCAGCACAGACACATGGACTTCAGATTGAGCGATGAGAATCTCCTCCAAAATCTGCAAGGGTTCCTTGTGCTCAATCATTTTCACAGGGGACGGTCCGCCCATCTCAGGATCACAAAGACTTCGCAAAGCACGGCCATCAGTGTGCTTCACCATGTCGTCCTCATACTGCTGCACCCCCAAAGGCAAAAGCTGCCGATTGTCCGCTGTGCCTGAAATCCTCTCAAACGCCCAGCAGCCAAATCCCATGCACTTGATGATACCTGTCATGGGAGCCCAAGTGCTTAAGAACTAGTTGTGACTGCTAGTCTTACAGAAGCACGAATCACTGGATTGCAAAGGAACACATGAAATTATTTCAACGTGGGCCCTTCATGCAGCAATGGGCCTTGAACGGAAATTGTCGAGTTTCCTTGGGAAAAACAAACTCCTCCAGGAAAGTCTCGACAACCTGCAAATTCTGGCCAAGCTTTGGCCAAAGCAGATCAATCATCTCATCATCAAAGGTCAAGCCCTCTGCAGCCCTTGGGATTTTCAGCCTTTTGGCGACGGCTTTGTGAACAGCCCCAGTCTGCAAGTCATCTTCAATGGGTGACCAAACTCGGTCCTGTCGCTCGAGGATTGTAATGTAAATACTCGGGGATTGTATTACCTTACAAATTTGTGAACACATAAAACAGTAAAATGCATATATACTAGTAACAAGAAGCTACTAGGGGCTCCTGGCCTTACTACATCTTACTACTAGGAGCAAGGACGCTACTAGGGGCTCCTGGCATCGCTACTAGGAGCATTCTTACTACTAGTAACAAGAAGCTTTTACAGACCTAAATTCTTTATTTTCACTCGGTCCTCTCCCTCGGAGCATCTTTGAAGCGGAAAGGTATGGCCATTTCACAGCGCCAAGTCACGTTGTCCACTCCAAACGCGACCCTGTGTCTCTTGTGCAGCGCAGAACGCAAGATATCACACGCAAAGAGGCCTCTGGCAGTGCGAGCAGCTTGTGGCAAAGATGGATTACTGTCATCCTCCTAAACAAGCTCCAAGATTTCCTTCAACTTCTCATCAAACAAATTCGGATTGAGAATGAACTCGCGCAGTCAATCGCCTCAAACTCATGTTGAAGAAATGGCTGAAAACAACCAGAAAGGCTGACAAGTGAGAGCATGATAGGGCCCTGATAGGGCATGCCAATCTCTCATCTACAACTCTCAGGGATTTACAACCCCCCTGCCCCATCTACAGTCGTTCCTGTAATTACCTCACTGACAAAAAGAAAAGCAGCTACAGCTACCGAGCTGCGAGTCTTCAAAGGAAGATTCCGGAGATCACCCAACTTCTCATGCTTTTCAGTGCTGGACAACAAACCTTCGCAAAGAGAGCGACAGCTCTGTCCAATCCTCTTCATTTCCTCAGTTGATCTCTCAAGGCTCAGGATTGCTTAGAAATAAGATCGACCTGGTAGCCCCAGACACTAAAGGTGTCGCTTTCAAGCCCCCTCTCTCGGTGCTGTTCGCCATAGCGCGGGAATGGTCTCCGACGTGGCACCGTTGCGAAAGACGTAGAAGACAGAGGGCCCGAGCAAGAGTCAACAGATTTCAAGGGAAAAGCGGGATCAAGAAACCTGGAATCCCATCATAGCAGACCTGCCTACAATATTCCCGTCCTTGATCGGCTTCCACTCCACGCACTATGTCATGGAGAAAAGCGCAGAAGCAATGGCAAGGCCAATGGGAAGAGTGGCGGAAGTCACCAACAGCCAAGGAAATGGCAAACGGAGTCGTCGCTCAACCAAGAGAACCAAAGGCTGAAAGCTGCCATGCGACAGGTGATGGAGACACCATCTCCGTCTCCGTCTCCTTCATCGCCTCACAAAGTCTCAAAGGTGGTCTGTCTTCATTTTGAGACTCCAAAGGATAAACAGCTCATTGTATGCTATGCAAGAAGCTACCTGTAGGCATACAAACACTATATAATTACCCTTTAGAGTCACAAGATGTCAGAAGCGTCGATAGGATAAGAACATGATTGCTTACTCTCTGCCTCCTTCCATCGAACCCATGATTGCACCAACTTTGGCATCCTGCAACCATTGGAGAGTATGCACTGACACACTACATCTGGGCCTAATCATAAGCTGCAGAGTGAGCAAGTTAAGCCAAATATCCTTCTCTGCATGTCATGTTTTTTGTCTGAGCCATAGGAAGGCATGCAAACAAAAGGAACACCAGTTCATGCGCAAGGGAAGCGACATCAAGGTCGCACATGTAGTACATTGTAGTACTAAACATCCTGACGCAATAGGCAGGCCTGTTTTCGGTGGCATCTGTGTCTTTCAGCTTTACTTGGTGAAACTGAATCAGTCTCGACATGTCTGGCTACTCCAGTGCTGGCACCTTGGGCGCTGCAGTGGAAAAATGCGCATGCTGGGCTTGGCTATCCTACAAACATCAATCCGAATCCTCCTCAGCCTCTTCTTTCCCATTTGAACCGCCAGATGTCACACTCTTGACTTTCAATGTCTTTTTCCATGCGGAGATCTCACTGTCAGCCGTCGCCTCTGTGCAAGCCACTAGTTCGTTCTTGTTGGAGGGCATTCGCCGCTCGACCATTGAAAGGCTCTGCCACCAGAAATGAAGGTTCTTGAGTGACTCCAAGGATTGATTGACATTGCGCAGTTGAGACGACAAGGCCTCAAATTCCATGATCCCCGCGAAAAAGGAGATGAAGGACACCAGGACTGGTATCCAAGCTTCGTAGCCGAGAGGAGTTGCAGCCGCCAGTGCTGCAGTCAGAAAGTAGGTCAAGACCTGGAGAACCAGCACTTTCCTTGAAAGGTCACGGCTGCGCCAAGAGTAGTACTGAAGCATGGGCAAAAATCGGAAATGGATGTAGTCCTCGGCCGTCACTAGAGATGTTCCATCATCATTCAAATAGTCGTCATCAATTGCAAAGGGGTTTGGGTGGAAATCGCTGCCAGCCTGGTTCCATGGGCCGTCCTCAAGATCCATAACCTTCGCAGAAGGACGTCTGCAGGGATTGCAAAGCCTTTTGCAAGAGGAAGTGGAGGAAGTGCGCTGGTGGTAGGAGGCAAGCACCTTGTCCCAGTCATAGAGGTTAGCCTTCAGTTTTGCCATGGCCGAAGCTGGCGGCATAGACAAGTAATCAGCCCGGACATCCGAGCCTGTGGCATCAGAGTTGATTTGTGCTAAAGCTGCTGAGAAAGTGCCTCGACGAGTTATTCCATTTGGGGCTGTTGCCTCAGCCTTCTTCTGCCTCTTCTTCAGAGCTGCTAGGGTGGCTAGGTCAGCGGTGCTAGGAGGATTGTCACAGAGCTCCTCCACGCGATCTTCAATGTCCATGTCGTTGGACTTCCGAGGCTGGTAATACAGCACACGACAGCGGTACTGATAGATCTCGCTCTTCACATTCACAGCACCGCTTTCCAAAGCTGCCCATTTGTTGACAAAGTTCAATCGGCTGATTGAGGTCAGAACAAAAGCACTCACACAGGGCAGGACCAGCAAGCTCACTCTGAGCTCTTCCTTTTGCAAAGGTGAGTCTGGGTTCGTCGTGCTTTCGCGATACAAGATAGCAACCACGGTCACAACAACTGAAAGCACCAGGGCACTGTACTGCAGAATTCTAGCTCTTCGTCGAAAAATCGCCGCATTGTAGGCATAGAGCAAGTATTGTTCCCAAGCATATCGGAGACGATTTTCTTCGCTCTTGGCAAAGCCAATCTCCATCATTTCATCATCTTGGACTGTGGACAAGACAAGTGTCAGCTTGTTGATGACCTTTTCAACTGAATCCTTTGCTGGATTCAGGATCAAGAACTGATCATCAGGTACATTTTCCGGCAGGTCATATCCATACATGAACTTCGAGTGTTCAGCATGATGGGGCTGGCGTCTTCGGAGAACTGCAGCACCCAACATTTCAGCGGCACCTCCTGTGTTGTGAAGACACACGATGGGCACGCCTGTCACTGCCTCCATCAAAATCTTACCATCCACACCAGGTTGAATGAGAGCTTCATTTCCATTGGCAAAAATGGATGCCCGCGTAGCCAAAGAGCGGAGCTTGATTCTCAGTCTGTCCAGTGTTTGCTGACTCTGAACAAAAATAATGTGAGTAAGAGCATTGCAGAGAAAGCGCCTCGTGATTTGAGCACGTACTTCTAGCTCCAAGTCAGCAACACTCTTTGCACTCTTCCCTGCATCTTCTTCATCTGGATCTAAGCCCCGGAGATCCTGATCATTGGCCTTCGGATCGGTTCCGAGCTCCGGAAACAACTGGCTGTTGACAGACGGGTACATCACTCGTTCCTTCAAATCTTCCTGCTTGTCAACAGGACCGGATGCGGGCACAGCTTGTGCACACTGGAGAAAGCTGTCCTTGAACTCCGTGTCCTGCAAAAAGCGCACACAGAACACCACGTTGTCGGTCTTGTGTCCTGCCAGGCATCCAAAGGCGGACCAATAGACCTTCAAGCCGTCCATCAAAACTTCGTTCAAGCCTCCTCTAGGTCCAGTGCCCAGATCAAACCATCCCCCACATTCGCTCACAGCTTGGCAAACACCTGATGAGATCTCTGACAGTCGGCTGGTAAACTTCTGTCTGAACTGCCAATCCTCTACGGCGCCGGTGGCCGTGGCCCAGGCCTCTCGGTTTCGAAGCGTTGGTGAATGAGCCCAGTTCACATAGTGATCTCTTCCGCCATAGCAAGATAGCAAAAGATTTGGAGGCTTCAAGCGCCATCCATCCCGGCGGACGAACATCCAGCGCAAGAGTTCATCTGCACTCTCCATCTCTGGAGGAGCAATCACGTAGTGAGCACGGTGACCACCAGTACCCAATCCACTGAACTCCACCTCCCCTCTGAGCAACTGCAGCTCTTTGGCAGACCGCTGGTTGATGCCGAGCGCACTGCACGACAGCTGCATCTCGTTGATTTGTTCTTGGGCCCTTTCCTGCACCATTTTCTGGGCCTGGCCGCCAACACTGGACAGTGCTTTCGAGTACTTTGGCTTTTGTTGCTTTGCAGTTGCTTCCTCAGATTCCTCCAACAAGGCATCCAATTCGGAATCGTGCAGGCCGCCATCTGGAACACTCCCCGGCTTTGGATCAGTCGCACCGCCACCATCTGGCGCGATGGTCACAAATTTTGCAGCTTCATCCATCGGTTCTGCCACCACCACGCTCGCGCGGTGGGGGGGTTTTGAAGGAAACCTGGAGCGTGGAGGATTGCAGCAGGATGTTCGTGACTGCCCGATAAGCTTCAAGATGTCATTCCAAAATCAGTTGCATGTCTTGACTCCAGATATGGAGATGTTGACTCACACCGACAATGCATTCGAGGACAAACGACTGTAACATATCATGAGACATCATGCACAGTCGCGCTTGTTTTCGCTTAAAATGCATCGCATGGTAGCAGCTTCAGCTCAAGCAAGGTTCTCGTGCAAATGCTGCTTGGCAGACATTGAAAAGAAATAAATTCGGACAAATGCTCACTATTTGAGCTTGTGTTTTCATTGTAAAGCACTTTCACTGGGATTGCAGCAAGCTTCGTGTCAGCTTGAAGCGTTGCTATCAGGAGAGCGTCGCTGACACCCCAAAAAAGAAGGGTCACACTCTCTATCATCCGCCACCTTCACCTCCTCCTTCTCCCTCACCGCCCCCCTTCTCCTTCGCCACCGCCTTCGCCATCTCCACCATCTCCGTCTCCGTCTCCTTCATCGCCTCACAAAGTCTCAAAGGTGGTCTGTCTTCATTTTGAGACTCCAAAGGATAAACAGCTCATTGTATGCTATGCAAGAAGCTACCTGTAGGCATACAAACACTATATAATTACCCTTTAGAGTCACAAGATGTCAGAAGAGTCGATAGGATAAGAACATGATTGCTTACTCTCTGCCTCCTTCCATCGAACCCATGATTGCACCAACTTTGGCATCCTGCAACCATTGGAGAGTATGCACTGACACACTACATCTGGGCCTAATTATAAGCTGCAGAGTGAGCAAGTTGAGCCAAATATCCTTCTCATCTGGCACACGTTTTTTCACCAGCGTGGCCACCTGGCAGCAAATCATGCCAAAGCTCTCAAACCATCACTCTTGTTTTTCCCAAAACAGGTTGCTGCTTTGAACACATTCAATGTTCAACGGCTTTTGTGAAACCCTAGTGATATCTAATGATCTAACGTTGCCTCCTGTTCTTCGCTTTTCTTGTTCTGTTCCTTTCTGCTCCTTGGGATTGCCCGCCTTGCCACTGCCAGCAACTAATGCGGACTGCACGCAAGATTGGAATGATGTATCATTGTACCAACCTTGCATTGCCTTAGATGTGATATCACATGGTCGGTCCACTGTGCCAGATGAGCAATAGGACCTTCAACTTGCCACTTGAGGTGAGAGAAGGGCGTCGTTTAAATGGCATTGATTGCAGGGAATCAAGCGCAGAAGAGCTTGTCATTTTTCAGTCAAGCAAATAGATGCATCACAGCGCTATTTGGCTTCCAAGTGGCAAAGAATATGAAGAAAAAAAAAACATAGCAACGTAAGGGCCTTGGTGATCCCTGCCAGCCAGCATGATGGCACAGCAGCTGCGCTTTTTCTGATCTGAAGTAGCTTCACAATTAGGAATCAAAAGGCTTTTCAGCCTCCCTTAGCGTCTCATTTCAACTGCAAGTCAATGTTGTGCACCTGTAGCTTCTCAGCCGTGTTGCTGCCATGATAATGGCCATCAAGATGTCAGTAGGGCCGAATCCAAGCTCATGTAAGACCTGAGGAACATTTTGAATTGACTCAAACAGTCTCAAAAAACAATCACTCTCAGTGAGGAAGCTGTTGTGTTGGTGAGTGGAGTAAAAGGCACTTGTACAACTTGTACATTGATTGCAGTTGTTACCCGTTGCTTGGCAAACACCAAAGCCAACCACAGCCAACCACAGCCAACCGGTACACGCAATTGACTGCTAAGGCCGATCGGAGGTTGCGGGATATGGATCAGCAGGCCTTGTTGACCAAATGCTCAGTCAAGAAATCCCAAGCTTCCTCAAATTCGTCCTGCCATTGCTTGGCCTTCTGGTCGTTTTGAAGGCGCTTGTTGACACATGAGCTAGGGCATTCGTTCCGAATCAATGCAGCATTAATTCATAGTATTGTGCGTGGTTCAAACAACGCCAGATTGTTTGGAGTGCACTCTTGCGTTGGGTTGCCAAACAAATTCCAGTCCTGAGTGATCAGGCCTGAACCATCAGAATCAGCATAGGCAAACATCTTCTCAATCATGTTCGGGTCCAGAGAAGAATTCATTGCCTGATGGCTGACGCGAGAGCACTTGAGGCTCAAACTCCCTGCAGATTTGCCTCCCATCCCCACCACGTTTTAAGATGTTTTAAGACTTTCCCTTCGGCAAAGGCTCGACAAACAGCTTCTTGAACTCCTGTCAATGCCACAAAACACATATGACATGCGTGCAAAACAAACTTGAGGAATTCTGAGGAATGCATAGTTTGCGAGAACTTGCAAGAACATGATCAAAGCTAGGCCCAAGAGGCCTCAATTGTGATAGTGCCAGATTGATCTGCATCCAACGTACTGAACACGTCGCCGGGGGTCACCTTGCGTCTCACTCGCTCCTGCCAAAGCTTTTTCTGGAGGTCTTCCCGCTGCGCGGTAATTGAATGGAATTCAATGGAATTCATGTCGAAGCAACAATTTCGCACGGATTGTTCACATGCTGTCCTGGTGAAATTCATCAAAGCCTGCCTGCGACTCATCCACCTCTTGTGCAAAATGTGAACTGTCCGGTGGCACAAGAACCTCTCTACCTCGTTCTCTTCAAATGAATGCTCAAAGCTCCGCCTTTTTCTTCGCGTGAGCTCTCTTGGCTTCAAGCTTGCGCAAACCAGCTGCCAAAGCATTGTGGTTTCGTTGCAGTTGAATTTCCTTAGTGCTGCTTATTATGGCAGGTCTGAAACCAAATTTCCTAAACAATGCCCTATTCAGAATTCCCTATTCCGTCTATCTCGTTCTTGTGCTACATCCAAGATTTCATCTTGGCCTTTGTGCTGGCGTGAGTCTTGTTCCACAGTCCTCAAGCATTGCTGCAACTTGCCATCAATCATGGCGAAGGCCTTTTTTCCTCATGGCGAAAGCAGCGTCATTCATCTCCTCACAGAACACCGCTGCATTTCCAAGCACCAACGCAACAGAGTTTTTCTTACGGCCACGCAGGTCACCTTGCCCAGCTTTCCAGAGCAGGTTCTTTTGCAGGGTTTGGAAGCACGGGGTATTATGCGCCGCAACAGCAAGGTTTACTTTGGTCTGCCAAATTGTATATATTGTGATTGTGGAGTTCCACTTTGTTTAGATTGTGCACAGAGATGCACAGAGTATTATCGGAGAAGCACATTTGCTGGTTTTTGCAGATTGGCAAACATGCAATTTCTGGCAGCCTGGCGGCTGCTTTCGCTGCTTTACTATTTTCATTCATTGGGTGAACAAGCGCCTACAGCTGTTCTGAGCTGTGCTGCCCCAACTGGAACAGCCAATCACCCCAGGCTGATCACCTGCTGCCAGGACTGAAACTTGTCCTCTCACCTCTCATACATGAGTCACCGAGGAAAGAATTCATCACGGAAGATCCAATGGTGTTGATGCACCTTGTTGAGGCTTGCACAGACTTGTATCGCAAAAAGAGTTTGCAGCGAGCTAAGCAACGACCAATCAATGAACATCAGTGAGAACTTGTTGGAACCCATGTTTGGAGAGACAAAGAAGGCTGTGCGACAACCAATAGGCACGATGCTGTGCCTGAACCTGCTACAGCAAAGGCAACGCTAGCCCTGCAGACCGAGAGAAGTGTGGGAAGTGGAAACGACATGTTTTGCTGGCGTCCGTTGTGTTGATCGTCGTTTCTCAGTTCTTTCTTGGTCTCGGTTGCAATGGTTTTGGTCTTGTTGCGCTGATGTTGTGACAATCTTTGCCTCTCGTTCGCATTTGGCGGCTCACGGTATGGTGGACAATTGTCTGTCTCAACAAAAGCGTGTCTTTAGTTTGATTGCGATTTGGGTATTCGGCGATGTTTTGGTGTTTGAAGGTGTCTCAGTCTTGTTTTGGTTATGCACTGCCCCTTCCGAGTATGCTTGTTGGACTCTATTGTTGGTTGAATAGCATTGCTATTGCTTTTTAGCTTGTTTAGAGTTTAGAGTTGGCGCATTCGCCATATTGTTTTGTTGCACTTTCATCATATTTTGGCAGCAGCTGGTTTTGTTTTGAATATTTTTGTTTTCTGCTTCCGGCCATCTTGGAGAGTTTACACATGTACATATGGTAGCTCGTGCCAGATTTGCTAGCGTATGATTCAGTGTCCTCAAATGCGCAAGCACAACAGCAAACAAAAGAAGCGGTGCAGTATATAGTTTTTTTCTTTTTTCAGAACATCTATATATTGCGCCTTTAAATGATAGCAAATCATTCATATAGAGGATTGCTTGCTATTGGGATCATCAGCTGGGGTGCTTCTATAGTGTTTCTTTCTTGCTTGTCGATTTCTTCCCTATATAATCTTGGCACGTCAGACTTTCAACTTTTCATCATAATGCTTCTGGCTCTTTACTCAATACTTGATACATCATGCCGGTCAAGCTTGATGCTCAAACAATCTCGTCATTGAATGTCATTGGTTGAGTATAGTACTGAAATCCTGCTTCTGAATCTATTCCGACTTTATTCCACTTGTTATCCATCTTGGTCTGTTCGCAACAAAGCAAAAGGTGGATCAATATTCTGAGCATAACTGTCTGGTCTTTATGCAGCAGCTGCTCGCAACACTCTGAGGTGTATTCATATAGAAGCCATGCGGCTATGCGATCCCAACACAACAGTGAAAAACACTACTGTAACAACACAAAAGCCAATCACATCAATCACGGTACATGCACAAGTTGACGATGGAATAGGATAGACTTCAGGAATTCCAATGGGGCCAAGTGACATTTATCCTTAAACGAACCTCTGACATAAACATCGATCACATCTTGAGCAAAACACTCTTAGCGACAACACTATCATACAGGATTTCCCACAAAGGGACTCAACCAGCCTCAAGTGCCCTTCGTGTCTTGACAATGCGACCCTACAAGTTTAGCCCAAGCATGATCAGCTCCTTCCAAAGAGTCACCACCACAACACCAAAAATTATCACTGCCTGGGTATGCATGTTGTGCTCACTGACTTGACGACTGAGCATGCATATAAGCATGAGAGTGCCGCAGAACTACTTACACCATCTCACACCATTTGCTTTGGAATCTAATAGATGGACACGGTATGGAACAGCACCCTACTTGGACTGAGCTTTCCACAGTGCCGTATGGCAAATACTTGACCGGTGACAAAATGGTGGCAAGGATGCACCAGGACGCCGTGACTCCAATCTGAGCTCACAAAGTGTAGCGTGAGAATGAGCTCCCAAACCATATGACAAGTAAATGAGAAGCGTCAGGATTGAATGAAACGCACAACGAGCATATTGCAAATAACCTTCTAAGAAAAGGGCCCAGGTCGCAACTCCGATAACCTCGAGGAACAAAATGCAGGCAAATAGCCAATCAAACCACCTTTCAAGGTCAATTGGCTGCATGCACTATCATTGCACTATGAAACACGCACAAGTCGAGACTGAACGATGTAGAATGATGATAGGATACCGCACAATACCATTGGACTCTTTCTGCCTCTTGATCATTCTCTCCGGGCAAACATAGTGCAGCAAAACACGGATCGTTGCCAGGACCTGGGCGATCGGAATGATCATGGGGCGTTCAAGAGCCGCGCGCAGAACAGGTTTTTGTTATCCTCTCTCAATGTTTCAATCACCAAGCTTCTATGTATACGAACTGCGTCCCAAGAATAAATGACGTCAAGAACAGGACCTGCCGGATCACAACTAGATCAAATTACTGCAACGTTTGCTTGCGTCCCTCGCGTTGCCAGAGGTATGAAACTGCAGCATGCTGTGCCAAACTATGACAACGTAAACAAATGCTTAAGCTCAAATTCTCCAAAAACAATAAAACACAGCAGACTGATTCTCAAATCTGAGCCTGACGTCCACCAGAGTCAAAGCCGATATAAGGCAGCGCCTTGTCCCATCGTAGTCAAGGAACAGTGCAACAAAAAGGCTTGATTACAACCTGTGGGTGTCACTATTGCATTGATCGAGGCACTGTTCCAAGAACATCCATCATCTGCACAGGAGTTGAAGTTACCTTAAATATCCAAAGTCACCATGTTCATCAATCTGTTTACACAGGCAGGTGTAGGTGTTTGGTAGATTTGTGGGCTCAAGCCTGGCAAGCTGCGAGGACAAAATAGAGTCAAATTGCTGCATCGAACACATGATCAGTTTCTAACGTCTTGCGTGTGCCAGTCTCTGCTTCCGAGGGTCTGTGGTTTGTGCATAGACTTGCTGGGCTCCAAGGGCATTTAGGCAAAGCAGCAAGGCCGGCAGGATGAGCACGACAATATCCACCAACACCTGTCAAGATTCAATTAGCAACCCAAAAAAGGTAGTGATGCTTTTTTAGAAGTGGAACACATGTACTGACAATTCACCCAAAAAAGTCTACACATCATGTGGTGTGAATTCGACCTGCCTCAAGGAAATCAGCAATTAGCTGTCTGCAATCCAGGACCAGATTTGGTTCTGTGGAAAGACTGCAATGGAGGATTTTTTGTACTTCCACCTCGGCAAAGGAGAGCACATCTCGTCACATAGCCGAACATTTGAACAAAAAAACCGTAAATAATGAAAGAAGAGAGCTGGGGACTGTGGTAGTACACCTTTTTCTTGTTTCTCATATATGTTTCTATCTCATTACATTTTTGCAGTGATAGAACTTTATCTACCATATCTTCCTTCATTGATAATATATAGTACCGGTTGTTGTACTTTACAATAGTCTGTCAAAGGACCTATATGAAAAATCATTTCAACACACTGTGATGTACTACGTTTCTAATAAATTTAGAGCGCAGGGTGCTGCGAGTGTGCACCTTTTTCTTGTTCTCATATGCTTCTACCTCATTACATTTTTGCAATGATTCATAGATTTTTCTCCCATATCTTCTTTCATTGATATGATATAGTACCGGTTGTAGTACTTTACAATAGGCTATCAAAGGACCTAAATGACAATATTCAATATACTTTACCATATTCACTCCGCTTCGCGGTCGAAGCCGCCCACACAAAGAAAAGGGAAAACAAACACACACTCTGACATTGGTTTTCAGTTACACTCAATTTCCCGATGGGAAGAAAAGCGAAGAACCGCAAGGTGGAAAAGTCAGCTGAAACAGTATGGTTGAACAATGTTTGCACTCTGACAGTCAGTGTGGTTGCAAGTCGGCTGCAAGTCTGCGGTGGAAAACCTGTTTTTGGGGAAGGTATCATGAAAGAACCATGAATCAAACCGTGGAAAAGTAGGGTCACAGCTTGTGGACAACTCAGCAGGTACACACCGAGACGTCTCTCAGTGCTTCCCCTCCAGCGACTTAGCTTCGTTGGACAAGGTTCATCGCTGGAGGCCTTGCCCCCCTGCTTGCGTGGAAAGTGGGAAAGTGGGGAAGAGTGGAAAACCCTTAGAACCAGGGTGTGACACACACGTACAGACATAGGCATCCATTCATGCATACAGACATACATACATGCAAACATACATCCAGACATACATGGGAAAAGTGTGTCATTAGCACCCTACCGGCTCGGCAGCAACCTGCGCTCGCGGAGCCGGGAACTAGCAACTTGTGCTCTCGGAGCCGGGGAGAAATGTTCACCGGGCTCAGGCATGAAGAAACCTTTCGCTACAGCCCGATTTAATCATCAGCCCCTTCACTGAGGGTTCTGTCTCGGTGTGTCTGTCTCGGTCTGTCAGTCTGTCTGGCTGGGTCGAGCAGGACACGGACTCATTTGTCTGTCTCGGTCTGTCTGTTTTTGGTCTGTCTGTCTCGGTGGGTCTGTCTCCGTCTGTCTGTCTTGGTCTGTCTGTCTTGGTGCGCCTGTCTCGGTCTGTCTGTCTCGGTCTGTCAGTCTGTGTCTCGGTCGGGCAGGACACACGGACGAACATACCCGCCATGTCAATAATGCAGTGTCCCCCGGGCTGCACATGCGTGCACCACGTCGATAACGCGATCTCCCCCGGCCGGCATAACCTGCGTCTCCAACGTTTGGTCCAATTTTTATCCATCTTCAAAAAAACATCGCAAAACACAGCATTTCTACTCGAAAAATGCCTCCCCCCCGAGCTAAAGCTTAAGATCTATTGTAGCAGCTTTCTTGCGATTCTTGCGCTGCCACAACGCCCTCAACACCTTCTGCGCGCGCAGATTTTGACGCACTATGTGTCCAACAAATTTAGAGCGCAGGGCGTTGTGAGTGTGCACTTTTTACTTGCTTCTCAGTTTCTTCTACCTCGTTACATTTTGGCAATGATAGAGAAAAACTTCTCCCATCCTCTTTCATTGATACTATATAATACCTGTTGTTGTACTTTAGAATAGTCTATCAAAGGGCCTATGTGACAATATACTTTGCTATATTTTGGACGCGCGGTGTGTCTAACAAGTTTAAAGTGCAGGGTGCTGTGACTGTGCACCTTTTTCTTGTTTCTCATATGCTTTTAACTTGTGTCATGTGATAGAAGTGTCAATGAAGCAGCTTAAATGGTGATAATTATGCTGTGCAGTTTTGCAATTTCATGTTTAGTATATGTGTATTTTTCAATGTTTGTATCATGTAAGAATGTTTTAACAATGTCTTGGCCTGGTACAGTAAAGCAAGTGAGAGAGGTATATGCAAGTAGTATTTTCACTGTAGTTTATATGTACAAGAACTAGTTTAACATTTAAGCAAATGTTGATAATATTACAGAATTGTTCTAATATAAAAAACTAACATTTTCAAATAGTAGTGTTTTTAGGGTGCTTGTATTTAAGTAGTAACATTGCAAACAAAACCTTGTATATATCTCTGTTTAAGATCCCAAAATACAACCTCCAAAGAATCTTCATCAAATAGCCATGTGACCATGTATATCGAATAACATTCTTGAACTTTGTTGTTGCATTTTGTTGGTCCCATGCTTCTTTCAAACTATAGTTCATTATACCAATACTTGCCATTGTACTGTCTATCTTTTGATAAGGGGCCGCGACTTAATTTTGGATTTTTTGTTTTTCGTGTTTCGTGGCAGGTGCAGTACTTTGTGGACCTTGCAAAGCGCATTTCGTGGCAGGTGCAGGACTTTGTGGACGTGGAAGTGCAGAGTTGGTGGCAGGTGCAGGACTTTGTGGGCCTTGGAGCGCAGATTTTGTGGCAGGCGCAGGACTTTTTGTGGGCCTTGAAGTGGAGATTTCGTGGCAGGTGTAGTGCTTTGTGGATGTGGAAGTGTAGAGCTGGTGGCAGGTGCAGGACTTTGTGGGCCTTGGAGTGCAGATTTCGTGGCAGGCGCAAGACTTTGTGGACCTTGAAGTGCAGATTTCGTGGCAGGTGCAGTACTTTGTGGATGTTGAACTGCAGATAGATAGAAAGATAGAACGATAAATGGATAGATAGATAGATAGATAGATAGAGGAGGCATATTTGCTTGGTTAGAAAGTTTTGCGCCGGGGAGTTCACCTTAAAATATTGATTTCGTGGCAGGCGCGGGTGTCGGGGATGAAGTGCAGATTTCGTGGCGCGGGGGGGAGGGGCGCAGCGCCCCCCCGCAGCAGCACACCAGATCCGAAGGTGAGCAGCTCGTGCTTGCTTGCTTGCTTGCTTCCTTGCTTGCTTCCTTGTTTGGTTTCGTCTCTGCAACGAGAACAACAGGAAAAGCAAATGCAAAAAGAGAAAGGAGAACAGCTGCCAAAAAGAAAGAAAGAAAGAAAGAAAGTAAGAAAGAAAGAAAGAAATAGACAGATAGATAGACAGATAGATGGATAGGCCAAAAAGCCAAAGGCCACAAAAGCCACAGAAGCCACGAAAGCCACGAAAGCCACGAAAGCCAAAAGCCACAAAAGCCAGAAGCCACAGAAGCCAGAAGCCAGAAGCCACGAAAAAAGAACAACAACAAAAAAGGAAACAAAAAATCCAAAATCAAATGGCCCTCCTTTGATAAGAGATCCAAAAATTATAAGATCTCTATATATTTAAGATCGTTCTTGACGGTAAAGGGTTGAATTTCACAACATACCGCATGTTGAACTGCTCTTCTGTCAGGCTGCAGGGTCATCATGTGTATAGTATGTCCACTGCCTTGCTTCATTTCATTTACCGCAAACTACTTCACAATATCATCTGAATGTATCGAAAATAGGTTTTCAGTGTTAACCCTTGCGCTGTCAAATTTGTTGCTCATGCTTCTTTGATTCATATTCTATGTCATGCCAAACCTGCAGAAATTACACGGGTGTTTAATTTTGGTCAATGAAGCATTGAATATCATTGTAGCCTTCTTTGGCAAAAAACAAAAGCACGTCAATGTCCTAGGGGCAGGCAGATCCTGAGGCATTGACTTTTTTCTAGTGACTATGTCGCGCAGACAGCAAATAAATACAAAGGGAAGAGCTATGCTGAAGCCTTTGGTAAGAAGGCTTCAGGCTGAAGCCTTCTTACCAAAACCAAAAAGGCAAACAAAAACAAATTATAGGACCGGAATACCCCACATGTTAACAACTTCACTAGACACAGGAGCGGACAATTGGTGGTTGGTGGTGGTTGGTGGTTGGTGGTCACCCCAATGGTGGTTGGTGGTTGGTGTCAGCTGAACCCTTTTGCTTTACCACGCAGACAGCGTGAAAGATACAGAGCTGCAGGAGAGCAAGCCGGAAAATGCTGGTGTCATGCATGTGTGCAAACTGCTAGTGGCTGAACATCAGTTGGCAGAGAGCCTGGCTTCGAGAGTCGGTGCTCCGTGGCTGCGTGACATGGGCCTGCATCGGCGCTTGGACTCTGGCAGCCGTCCAGTGGGTACCAACAGCTTTGACAACTGCTCCCATCAGCGGTTTGAGAAATTTGGGATCCGACCCCTTGGAGAGCACCAAGTACCGCGCCTGCCACGCAAAAAGCCACCGGCAGAGCGGCGGAGACCAAGGCACGCCAGGGCGTGCATCCGACCCCTTGGAGAGCACCAGGTTGGTGGTTGGTGGTTGGTTGGTGGTTGGTGGTTGGTGGTGGTTGGTTGGTGGTTGGTGGTTGGTTGGTGGCTGTTGGTGGTTGGTTGGTTGGTTGGTTGGTTGGTTGGTTGGTTGGTTGGTTGG